GGAAGAAGTGCAGCCAGAATGCTTCTTAGAGGCCAAGATGGTCAAACTTCATCTCTCATACTTTGGACATATTGTCAGGAGGGAACAGTCGCTAGAGAAGGATATCATGCTTGGTAAGATGGAGGGTCAGAGAAAAAGAGGAAGACCCCCAACGAGATGGATTGGCCAGGTGGCAGCATGGACTCAAGTGTGGCAACAGTAGTGAGGTTGGCCCAGGATTGTGTAGTGTTTCATTCTGCTGTGCATACGGTCACTATGGGTCGGTATTGACTAAATGGCACCTGACAACAACAAAGTGTGTCGGGGACTCCTGGTGTGGCGCTGTGAGACTGCAAAGTCAGTTTGAACCACAGGTCAGTGGTTCAAGCTCACCAGCCGCTCCTTGGAAACCCTATAGCGGGTCACTGTGGGTAGGAGCCAACTCGATGGCACTTAACAACAACAACAAGAGTGGTGGAGCCCTGGTAGCATAGTGGATTGTGAGTTAGGCTGCTAACCTTAAGGTAAGCAATTTGAATCTACCAGTAACGTCGCTGGAGAAAGATTAACAGCCTTGAAAACCCTATACAGGTTCACTATGCGTTGGAACCAACTCAATGGCATGTCATCATCATCATCATTTTCAAGTGTGGTGCTGTAGGATCAGCTATATGGGTTGTTGGTTCAAACCCACCAGTTGGTCCTTGGAGTCCATATACAGGGACTCTGTGAGTCAGAACTAACCTGATGTTCTGATTTAACAAAAGCAAGCTTAAAATCAGTCACACAGGTGATACACAGCCAACACTGATAGTCCTCTGGTGTCAATAGGAACTTAAAACCTAAAATGACTTGACTTACACTCTGCTTTCGTCATCACCTCATGAGTTCAGGCTGATTTCATCCAATGCTCCTTGCTTTCTTTGTTCTAGCTTTTTTGTTACTTCCTTGTGCCTAGTATTTCTCATTTGAGGGATATTGTGTATCTTCTTCCCTTTGCTGGGAACATTCTATCCTCGCTTAGACTCCCACCCTGATTCCTTTTCAAGTATGTAACTGTTCCTCATACTTTAGGAAAACTCTACATTGGGTTCTCTTTTACCCACTCCTACTCTCTATATTCACCACCTATAATCTGACATAGGAGTCCCCATGTGGCACTATGGGATAAAGCACTGGACCGCAAGATCAGTTTGAGCCGCAAGGTCAGCAGTTCAAATTCACCAGATGCTCCTTGGAAACACTATACAAGGTCACTATGAGTCAGAACTGTCTCCACAGCACTGAACAACACAACAACAGTCTGACATATTCACTGCTTTAGATGTAGGATTCATTATAGTGCTAGGTACCAGATTAGTGTTTAAGATATATTAAATAAATTCATGATTATGTAACTGCTAAAAAATAAGATGAACTTTGGAATTTTTGAAAGAACAAATGGAATTAGAAAGGATGTTAGAACATAAGGGCATTAGATTTTATTGACATGGCTGAATTATTAATTTCAACCTTTCAGCATAAATGTACAGTTATAAAAACAACCCTGTGGAATTCAGAGTTGTATTCATTCAGTCAATAAAAATTGCTAAACACTACCTTGACATTTATAGTGTATAATTATCAAGTTATAGCTGATCTTATCTTGACATTGAACTTTTCTGACTAATTAATTTCTCTTGGTTAAATATTAAGTTATTAGTTCTCACCTTCTTTTATTGAACTAGATCAGTCACAAATTTAGTACATCATATTTGTTGTAAGGATATTTAGAGAAATTAAATGCCCAATGACAAGGGACTAGTTACATCAATGAAAACTTGGCAAAATTCACTTGGGCATTTTAAAGAATTATAAAGCATATGTAGTTATATCAAAGGGCTTAAAACATAATATGAATTTGGAAAAATTAGAATGTAACTATGGAAACAATATGGCCATGGTAAAAGGAAATACAAAAATAATAAACACTTGGTTTTATTAAGATAAATGGTTTGTCAATATTTGAGGGATTTAAAACCTTACATGGAGTCCTGGTATGGCACTGTGGGTTAAAACACCAGACAACAAAGTTCAAACTCCATTTGAACTAAAAGGTCCCCAGTTCAAGCTCACCAGCTGCTCCTTGGAAATCCTATACAGGGTCGTTATGGGTCAGAATCAACTCAACAGCACTTAACAACAACAATTATACCTTACATACAAATTTTTGAAGTATATATGTTATGTTGTTGTTATGTGCCGTGGAGTACATTCCAACTCATAGTGACCCTGTACAGGTTTCTGAGGCTGTAAATATTTACAGGAGCAGAAAGCCTCATCTTTCTCCCACAGAACAGCTGGTAGTTTCGAACTTCTGACCCCGAGGGTAGCAGTGCAATTCATAACCACTACGCTACCAGAGCTTCCAGTATATATGTATATTGTATATCAATTACTATAATCTGAATGAATAAGTGTAAAAGTTTTATTAGAGTACAAACTACTCCGATTTATTTGCTGTAGTCTTATAACATGCCTGGTTGTAGTTATTGCAAATTAAAGTCTGTTTTTTGTTAGAAAGTATCTCATATGTATTATGACTGTTGAAGAGGGACCTGCCTTTGAAATTCAAGTTCCTTGTTACATAAAAACACATTTATTTTATGGATGAGCAATATTAGAACAGTACCAAAAAAAGTAAAATGAAATCACTTAAACATTACCATTCTACCCAATCCAATATTGCAGGTAGCTTGTTTCCTTCCATTTCTTTTACATATGAATGTACTACTTTTATAATTTTTCACCCTCAGAGCTTTTTGCTTTATCATAATACACAGTTTTGTGTGTGTGATTTCCCTACCTCCACTTGATAATTATTACTTTAATTGCTGTTTAAAGAAAGCAATTTTTAAAAGCAAACATGTAAGGAGCTTGGATTCTTGCAACTTGGGGACAAATGAGTTGAATGTTCTTTCTGACCTTGTCTTTATGCTGACTGTTCACTTTAGGGGTTTGTATACACGACTGCTATCGCCTGATTTTCATTTGAGTTGTAAGATGATAACAAAAAGTTCCAGGGGAACTGGGTTTTAGGTGACAGCCATATCATTTAATGTCTGTTTATTGTCTCCACAGGGGAATTCTGGTCTGGGATTCAGTATTGCTGGAGGGACAGATAACCCCCACATTGGAGATGACCCTGGCATATTTATTACAAAGATTATACCAGGAGGAGCTGCAGCAGAGGATGGGAGACTCAGGTAAAGATCTGAGATATTAGAATTACTTGGAAAGTAATTTTCTGCTGTGTCAATGAGACATGTTTATACCTTTGGAGAAAGGTAATTGTATTAAAGTTCTGTACTTGAAAAGAGAATGCTGTCCAAGCAAGATTTCTGTAATGGCTTTGTAGATCTCTTCTTACTTACTGAATTTCTACTAGTAGGTAATATGTGCTTGTTGATGACTCCCACCTTCAGCATTGACCCAGGCACAATGGAAAGAGATGCAGTTAAGGTTTCTGTTTGCATGGAGCCTGCAGTCTAGTTGGAAAGAAGAATAATGTGAACGAATGAAAAAAATAATATAATATAGAAAATAATGTACTATATGCATATAGCCTTAGTAAATAATACAATGTTACTTTGTTAAAACAAAACAAAAGTTTAAAAAGCTGTATTCAGCAACAATTTATAAAGACTTTCTGTAAGAGTTTAGAGAAAGGGAAGTTGAAGTCTGAGAAGCTATTCCATAGGCAGATTCTACTCTGGGAGTTACTTGAATTTAAAAATTTCATGGACCCTCTAACATGCCATGCCCTATTATCACTTTAGTACTGTGACTAGATTATAGGTCCCCTCAGGCCAAGCAGTTGCATATATAGCAGTGGATTAATATATTCTTGTGAATGACTGAATGTTTCTGAATGAATAAATTAATAAAAATGGAGAAGAGAAACTAGGGAAAATTAATAACAGGGTAGGAGGGAGCTAGCATAACAGCCTGTACATAAGAATGACCTCAGCTTGCGTAGAACAGCATTGAAGAATGTGGGCTAAATGGCAGATGTGTAAACTGCAAAGTCTTTCCTCAGTCTATTATTTCATTAATCAAAAATAAGTTAGTTTACTGTCTTCATATAAAACACCTAAGGACACTCATGGCTATGTGGTTCTAATACAGTAATAACTTTTAACAGCTGCATGTTTATAGCTTGTATAGGAGAATCACATTTTTTTTTTTTCCAGTTACATCTGCTTCTCTTATCAACAAGAAGAGAAACAATGAGTGACACTTTTATAGGAGGCACATATTTTCTTAAAAACAGAATTTCCAAGCTCACTTGACTGAATCTGAAGGATTCATACCATTAAGTAAAACAGAGACTGTGTAGCTTTTTGAGTCATAATGGGAAATGGTATTTGCTAACATTGTCCTTTGGAAAAGCTTCATTATAAGAGCTTAGAGATAGAATTATTATGGGGAAATTAAAAAGTTAATGGGATGACTGTGATCTAGATATGGGGAACTTCCACTCCCTAGACTAATTCTGGTTATAAACTTAAAGTAGAATGACAGATGCCACACTTTAAAGGAAAAGTAGCATCTGTTAGAACACCATCATTCTTTGCATAAAGTAATGTTGGTAACCTCACATCTTTGGAGGAATAGGGAAGTTTACCATGTTGATAGCTATATATTCAATTATTGTAAAAAGAATAATCATAATGATTACTAACAATTATTCAGCACTTATCATATATGAATTTTGTGCATAGATAGATGAATGGGTAGATAGATAGATAATATAGATAGAGATATAAAATTGACAGACACAAGCTATATAAAGTGGCCCTCTTCTAACCATGGGTTCCAGATTTGTGGATTTCACCAACCACAGATGGAAGTTATCTGGGGAAAAAGTAATTAAGTGGTCAAAGGAATTTCTCAAAGGCTAAGGACACAAAATGCGATTTACATAGCATAGTGGTGCTATAGGATATATGCTAGACTGTTAACTGCAAGATTAGCAATTCAAACCCATCAGCTCTTGAAAACAGGGTAACTATGAGTCAGAAGGGACTCACCAACACAGAACAACAACATAAATAATCTAAAGATGATTTAAAGTATTTGAAATGATATGTGTAGGCTCTGTGTAAATACTGCACCAGTTTATCTAAGGGCATTGAGCATCTGTAAGTTTGGGGAGTGATGGAAGGGATCACTGTTTGGTTCTGGATCCAATCCCTGTAAATACTGAGGAACAAGTGTTTCCTCTCTTTTCTCTCTATGTCTTAGTAATTTTTCCTCTACTTTTGCATCTGTTTAGTTCTTATGACAGCCTTATAAAGTAGGTACTATTATTCTGGCTGTAATAATGAGACTCAAGAAATTAAGTCTTAAGGAGTTTAAGAATATCACTCAACTAACTACAAATACATTTTAAAAACCAGAGTTCTGAATGTCACTTGAGTACTTTATAAAACATTGTAAAAGAAACCATTCTCTATCATCTGGTCTCAGCCTAAAAAATCCCAAGGGCAGTGTATCTTGGCATTAAGAAACATCGCTGAACATTGTAATATTTTCTGGTTTTGTATTAAGCCACAATTGCCTTTATTCTGTTTTCTACTCATTAATTCTTTTTCTGAATTTTCAGGACCATGAACTATGACTACTTTTGTGAATAATGCCTCCTAAGGTTGTCAAATGAAAAGCTTTCAGTACTCCATACAGTGTCCTGAACTGGAGTGACAACTTAAACCTATTACTAAATATGCATTACAATACTGAATGTAGTTACATTCATTTGCGTACATGAAGAAAGCTATTCTATCTTCACTTTGCTTTTAAAGGATATTTGCTAATAAGCTGAGATTATATCCCCCACTTCTCCATTTTGTTGCTTTCTGCCATGTACTTCAATATCTGGGTACTTTTAAGAGTTGAAGAATAGTAATTGCTTCAGAATCATATGTAGTCTAAGGCCTATATTTCACAAATGAGAAAGCTAAGGCTCAGAAGAGTGACTTATCCTACGGCATAAGTCATTTGGGTCTCCAATTAGAATTCAAGTGCACCGACTAATTCATGTGCAACATTCTAAGGTAATATTAAGAGCCAATATGGTGTCCTGGTGTGGCACAGAAGGATAAGCACTGGACCAAAAGGTGAGTTTGAACCTAAAGGTCAATGGTTCCAACTTATCAGCTGCTCCTCGAAAACCCTATACAGGGCCTCTGTGAGTTGGAGCCAACTCAACGGCACTAACAACAACAATTAAGAGCCAGTGGCACCCACACAAGAAGTCTTTTCTCACTATGGTTGTTAGCAGCTGTATCACCAAGCTCTGAGGAGCATCTTCTATCTCACTCTTTGTCTGTAAGGACATGGAAGCTATATATCATAGTGAAGTCTACAAAACTCCTAAAGTTTACCCTACTGTATACATAATTGACTTTGGAAAGTTCTTCAAGGTCTCTTAGTTCCAGTTTTCTCATTTGTAAAGTGGTGACAATACCTAGTTTACTAACTATGATTTTTTTTAACTATTCAGTGAGATAACTTAAGTACCTAGCCATGCAAGGCACATAGTAGGTGTTTTATACTTCTTAGCAATGTCTCCCCCTTTCTCCTCTCTTCTGCTCTCTACCTCTCATTAGGTTTTCATCTCCTTTGCCTCTGTTTATTTCTCTTTAGTAATCAATATTATTATGATGTTCCATTCCTTTTCCTCTCTTTCCTCTCCCCTTTTCTTCAATCTCCTCGGACACTCTATGCCCTCCCTAAGCTTCCTGTTTCTGTTCACATTCTGTTTCTTTTGGTCATGACATGGTCATTTTAAAGCACATTTAAAAATGATTGGCATACTGAAGTAAGTTCTATGTTCCTATTCTCAATTTTGTACTGTTGGTGTGGGGCTGTGAAATCAGCACTGAGCTGTGAACCACAAAATTGGCAGTTCAAACCCACCAGCTGCTCCTTGGAAACCTTATAAAAGGTTGCTATGAGTTGGAACCAACTCGATGGTGCTTGACAGCAACAACATTCTCAGTTTTATAATCCAGTTAATGGAATCTGTTATTTTTGTCTCACTTAAAAAATAAGCTATACCCCTCTTCAGCCTATAACTGATTGGAATACCTAAAAGAGGTTTTAGAACTTGCCCAGTGAAATATACTGCTTGCAGAGTCTTTGTTAAAAAAAGCTATAGGAGGACATATGGGTGCAAACATGCGTACATAGAGTTGATTGTGACCAGTCCTAGGTATATATATTTGTACATGGTGCAAATAGAGCACACAGGAATCATAGTCATGAAAACATCTTAGCTATAACCAAACACTTCCCAGGAATGAGATCGTGGGCTTGAGAGTTAGGGACCACAGTCTTGGGGAACGTCTAGGTCAATTGGTATAACACAGTCCATAAAAATAATGTTCTACATCCTACATTGGTGAGTAGCTACTGGGGTCTTTAAAGCTTATGAATGGCCATCTAACTTACAACTATTGGACATTTTGAGCTCTGGTAGCATAGTGGTTATGAATCAGAGCTGCAAACCACAAGTTCAGCAGTTCGAAACTACCAGTGTTCTGCGAGAGAAAGATGAGGCGTTCTACCTCCGTAAAGATATACAGCCTCAGAGAGCCCTGTACAGAGTCGCTATGAGTCAGAACCGACTCCACGGCACACAGCCACCACCATTGGTCATTTCATTTTCATCTGGAACATAGGAGAATGAAGGAAACCCAAGACTCAAGGAAACAATTATTCCAAAGGACTAATGGATCACTAACCTGAGACCAGAAGAACTAGATAGTGCCTGGTTACCACCACCTACCACTCTAAGAGGGACCACAATAGAAAGTACTGGATAAAGTTGAATAAAAAGGTAGAGCAAAGTGCAAATTCATAATAAAAAGCTGACTGAGTCCTGGTGCGGTGCTGCGGATTAATGCACTGAACAGCAAGGTGGGTTTGAATCACAAGGTTGGTGGTTCAAGTTCACCAGCCGATCCTCAGTAAGCCTATTCGGGGTCACTGTGTGTCAGAACCAACTCCATGGCACTTAATAATACAACCACAACTGGTTTGATAGCGATTGGTGGCATCCCAGAGACTATGGTCCTTAGATACCTTCTCATTTAGAACTGAAGCCACTCCTAGAAATCTCCTTTCAGTCACATAAAAGACCAGTCCATAGCATGAACAGTAGCACCTAGGAGGAACATGTTCCTCAGAACAATCAACTAAA